GTACGTACGTACGTACGTACGTACGTACGTACGTACGTACTACTACTCTCTCTCTCTCTCTCTCTCTCTCTCTCTCTCTCTCTCTCTCTCTCTCTCTCTCTCTCTCTCTCTCTCTCTCTCTCTCTCTGTCTCTCTCGCTTTCTCTCTCTCTCTGTCTCTCTCTCTTTCTCTCTCTCTCTATTTTAATGAATAATTTGTACAAAATACGTCACATATGATGACGTACGGGCTTAATAAGAATGAAAGAGGAAGAGGAGTTATTCTAGCATAGATTTATATGATAACATACCATCAGTAGGCCTCACTTAAGAAACAGGAAGAAGACCTTGCATGTAATGTCCCCGCTGCATATACCAGTCAGTACACAAACTGGCTACGTTAGTGTGTTAGCGAATGCGCAATATCTCACCAGTACAGTTATATTTTAAGATGAATATCTATTTAATATGCTTACGAGGTATCTCAGCATATATTTATGTAATTAATTGTTATCAGTAGACCTGTGTTTATAATTAGGAGCGCGCCCTAGCCTATAGTGTACAAAACTCCTACTTCACCCCCTCCCGACCTTCCCCTTGGCTCCCTTGTCCCTCGCTCAGCTTCCCTCTTTTTCTACCACCCCTTAGCTATGTTCCCTGCAGCTTTTCCTCAGTCTCTCACCCCTCTCTCTCAGCAGGCTATATTATGCAGTTTTCTTCAATCCGTACTGCACGTCTGAAACGGTGCTCGCGCATGCGTAATAACTGCCGAGAAGACGAATATTTTGCAGAAATTTTGCATTTAAAATGAAGAGGAGTTATTCTTGCATAGATTTATATAATAATATTCTATCAGTAGACCTCACATAAGAATCAGGAAGAAGACCTTGCATGTAATGTCCGCGCTGCATATACCACTCAGTACAAAATCTGGCTACGTTAGTGTGTTAGCGCATGCGCAATATCTCACCAGAACAGTTATATTTTGAGATGAATATGCATTTAATATGCTTACGGGGCATCTCTGCATAGATTTATGTAATTAATTGTTATCAGTAGACCTGTGTTTATAATTAGGAGCGCGCCCTAACATATAGTGTATAAAATTCCTACTTCATCCCCTCCCGACCTTCCCCTTGGCTCCTTTGTTCATCGCTCAGCTTCCCTCTTCTTCTACCGCCCCTCAGCTATTTCCTCTGCAGCTTTTCCTCAGTCTCTCACCCCTCTCTCTCAGCAGGCTATATTATGCAGTTTTCTTCAGTCCGTATACTGCACGCCTGAAACGGTGCTCGCGCATGCGTAATATCTCCATAGAAGAAGAATATTTTCCAGAAATTTTGCATTTAAAATAAAGAGGAGTTATTCTAGCATAGATTTATATGATAACATTCCATCAGTAGACCTCACTTAAGAAACAGAAGAAGACCTTGTATATAACGTCCCCGCTGCATATACCACTCAGTACAAACTCTGGCTACGTTAGTGTTCTAGCGCATGCGCAATATCTGACCAGAACAGTTATATTTTGAGATGAATATGCATATATTTAATATTCTTACGGGGCATCTCTGCATAGATTTATGTAATTAATTGTTATCAGTAGACCTGTGTTTATAATTAGGAGCGCGCCCTAGCCTATAGTGTACAAAACTCCTACTTCACCCCCTCCCGACCTTCCTCTTGGCTCCCTTGTCCCGCACTCAGCTTCCCTCTTCTTCTACCGCCCTCAGCTATTTTCCCTGCAGCTTTTCCTCAGTCTCTCACACCTCTCTCTCAGCAGGCTATATTATGCAGTTTTCTTCAATCCGTACTGCACGTCTAAAACGGTGCTCGAGCATACTTAATATCTCCCGAGAAGAAGAATATTTTGCAGAAATATTGCATTTAAAATGAAGAGGAGTTATTCTTGCATAGAATTATATAATAATATTCAATCAGTAGACCTCACATAAGAGTCAGGGGGAAGACTTTGCATGTAATGTCCCCGCTGCATATACCAGTCAGTACACAAACTGGCTACGTTAGTGTGTTAGCGCATGCGCAATATCTCACCAGAACAGTTATATTTTGAGATGA